CCCCCCCGCATCAATAATCTCATCAGCAATAGTTCTATTCATAACCTCTTTGAGAGGCACCAGTCATCCATGTCTAGGTGCTGGTTTAATTAATAATCCCCAGGTGTCGTCTGCCAGCGGATCGCCGGGGCAGGTACAGCCTGGTGGGTCCATCATCAGACGACAGTATTGACTGCAGCTGTTGTGACATCTGTGATGAGGTGGCTCTCAACACCAGCAGTAACAGGAACAGTGAGGAGGTGGGGGCGGCTGGTGGGGGGTGTGGTCAGAGGCCCAGAGGTCACGTGAACACGTTCCTTGACGTGCTGGACAGTGAAGGCCTGTTGGAGTTCTGGTAACGAGGGCTGTTGATACATGTATTTATTTCATTATATTTTCTTCCCCTTTTCTGGTTATTGTCTGTCCATCTTGTCTGTGAGTGTCTGTTTGTGTGTCTGTGTGTGTCTGTGTGTGTGTCTGTTTGTCTGTCTGTCTGTTTTACTTTCCCTCTACTTCTTCTTCTTTAGGTACTGTACATGTGTATCAGGTCTGGATCAGGCAATTACAACCATGGTACCCAAGACCCTCCTGTTGTCAGTCCTGATCAGCTCAGCTTTTCGCATATTATGTACTCCGATTTTATCTCTCACTTAGTGTAGGTTAAAGGCCGTTATTGAGGTGTGTTGTCTTACTAAAAACAAATATTATAACCCCCCCTCCCTTTCCAACTCAACAACTGAAATGGCTTTTTAAGATTCAGTTTGGATAGAAATGGAAAAGAACCCAAAAAACTATCTGGGCAACGCCGGCTGAGACAAGATATATGCTGAGGTTTCTTCATTCTCGCCAACTAACTCATTAAAGGTGCTCTTTAGTAATGAGTAAACAGTTTTAAACAGATCCCATATTGGAATTTGAAATATCACGGAATAATGTTAGACTACTAGCTGTACTTTTTTCCACCTTAGGCTATTGGTATGGTATCCCCACTTGTCAGTAGATATACACTAAAAAGTCAAACAAGATTTACTCCCCAAATCCCGATGCCAGTCATACGTTGGTTGTAAATCCACCTGTGAATAACAGGGAATTTGCATGCACACTGCACACAAAGTGCAGAAATTCTATTCCTCTGAGACGCAGAATCGAGTTTTCTTGCTGGCAAGTGTCCCACCAGAGAGCTGATCCCCAGCCAACCTTGGTTGGTGTTGACAGGCAGGGGTCGAATCAGTTGCCCCCCCTAAATCGTTAACATTTTTACCATAAAGGCGAGAAATACAACAATAACAACAATATTTAAAAAAATACAAACTTACAATTAATATGATGATGGAATATAATATTAATATGGGCATTTGCCACTTGCTTTATAAAAAGGACTGTATATGATCTTAGGGGAAAATAGGGGTAGATTCTAACTGGTTAAAGGTTTGGTGACGTCTGGAAAGAGCATTTTGGTGGGGGGTTTTTTGGGGTTTTTTTTTTTTGGGGGGGGGCCCTTTGCGCTAAAGAAAAACAACACCGCTCTTTTAGGTCGATATAGATGTGATGAACCATCGCCTACTGATGTAAACCGTTCGGTGACGATGCTTGCACATTTAGAGCTATATTATATTATGCGCAGGGCCTACATGACATGTACCTAATATTTTGTGTATCTCAACCTGTTTCAGTGATCCGATCAGCAGACGAGCTGTTCTGTCTATTGGCTTCGGTTTTTCCAACTCTGAGCTGCTGGCCCTTAGTTCTCGTTTTGTGGATGAACAGAGATACCAGGTGACTGAGGTCTCCC